TTCAGTCCATCAGAAAGAAGCTTCACTCCTGAATCCTGCAGGTCATTGTTACTCAGGTCCAGCTCTCTCAGCACACAGTTTGAGGATTGTAGAGCTGAAGACAAACTCTCACAGCACTGAACAGTGAGTTTACACGTGACCAATCTGAGAAAGAAGAACACAGATTATGTCAACAGTGTGATTTTAGTCATTCATCTAATGTAAAAACAAACTATGAGTTTATTAATATGATAAAACTATTGGAATTTGTGTCAGTTAGAATTATTCACTATTGTTATTTATTAAAACTGAATATTAAATGTCATCTAATATATTCTTGAATATTTTGAAAGGTAAGAAAACTGCTAAATTTGAGTTTAGATAGGAGGACCACGAGACTTTATATATTTATGAACCTGCAAAATGCAAATGATCAGAGCCTGTCAAACCTGCTCCAATAAACCAATTCACAGATAAACTATAAATATAATCATTAAAAATATAAAATATAAATAAAGATTTTAGAGGTAATTAGATAAAATAATCTACATAAAATACAATAAAATACACTGATTTCCTTGTAATTGAAATCACAACCCTGTAAATGTTTTGTTTCTTCTTTTGTCAATCCACTGAATGGGGCTCCACATCAGGTAACCCAATATGTAACTGTATCTGTTGAGTGGAGAATCCTTTACCTCAGTGTCTCGAGTTTACAGTGTTGACTCTTCAGTCCATCAGAGAGAAGCTTCACTCCTGAATCCTGCAGGTCATTGTTACTCAGGTCCAGCTCTCTCAGCACACAGTTTGAGGATTGTAGAGCTGAAGACAAACTCTCACAGCACTGAACAGTGAGTTTACAGCGCTGTAGTCTGTGTAGAGGTCAGTAAAAGACACTGTATTATTGTGTGTGAGTGTGTTGTAATTATTGAAGTACTTATAATGAGTGATTTCTCCTCATAGGGAAAAGGAAAAGACTCCTTTAACTATTCAGAGTTGCTTTAATGATCTCAAGGAGGAAGATCAAACATTTGTATTTCATTATTACAAAAACTTTTTAAAGAGAAGATCTCTGGACCAAAATGAGTCGGCCAGACAGATTTATTTATTGCTATTTCTGTTCTTATATTTCTGATATTTCAAATCCATTCAGATCCTCATATTTGTTAAACAAAGCAAGACTCTCATATAATATTAACAGACAGAAAATACGACTTTACAAACTGTATTGCAAATAAATCACATCAACATCTTCATATTAGTCAATAATATTCCTGAAATGAATATAAAACTGACTGAATATAACTTTACACACATTAACATCAGTAAATAAAGAGACTCAGTGATGGGCTGTACATCTGCAGAAACACAGCTCATATAGAGACGCCCCAAAAACACCAAAGAACACCAATCAATGATCATTTCAGAAGAAATGACACTAAAGAGCAATACTATATCTGATATAAACAGGGTTTCTCATATTTGATTTCACATTAAATTTGAAATATTCACAATAAATAAACAGAAATAAAATACTTCACAGCATATGCTCATTACCTCATCAGACTTTACAGCATTTCACAATGTAAAAGTCATTTGTGGCAGCATTTATTTGATGGAAATGTTTTTATTTTACCTCAGTATGTCCAGTTTACAGTGTTGACTCTTCAGTCCATCAGAGAGAAGCTTCACTCCTGAATCCTGCAGGTTATTGTTACTCAGGTCCAGCTCTCTCAGCACACAGTGTGAGGATTGTAGAGCTGAAGACAAACTCTCACAGCACTGAACAGTGAGATTACAGCACTGTAGCCTGTGTAGAGGACAAACAGCAACAAAATCAGCAGTAAGAAATGAGCACTGTTGTCAAGCTACCTCATGGTGTTGTACCGTGGTGTTGGGCTGCAACCCCCATCTCCTTTCTCTGATCAGAAAACAAACACAATTATCCAAGAGCAACACTGTGTTAGATTTGAGCAAATACACATCAACAAATGTCCTATTCAGCTGGAGGAGCACAGGGATTTACAGGGATTTGAGTTATTTTCCAGGATAAACTGTAAAGCAAATGAAGTAGATTATTAAATAAGTACAAATGTTGTTTGTGTGAGTAAAAAGTCAAGAAAAGTTTGTTAAATACGTTTAGAAATGATTAAATAAATGAGCAAATAAGGAAACAGAACACTGCCGCCGCGTCCCCATGCAGTAATATGGTGTATCAGCGATCTCACAGGGGGACGATATCGCCAGCTAAAGATTTTCTGTTAAAGCAGGGCAGTGATTCACTAAACTGATCTGAGTCTTCAGTGCAGACTGATGTGTGTCTTCTGTGATCAATCAATGAATACTCACAGAGCTCTTCTGCAGTTTCTCACAGCTGCTATCAGTCTCCGTCTTCCCTCAGCTGATGTGTTGAATTTATTAAAGTCTAACTCATCCAGCGGCTCCTCTGACATCTCAATCATGTAGGAGATTGTTGAGCAGTGAGCAGGAGAGAGTTTCAGCCCTGAGTGTTTGTCTGATTTCACAAACTCCTGAATCTCTCTGGCCAGAGTCTGATCTTTCACCTCCAGCAGACAGAGGAACAGATTGATGGATCTTTCAGCTGAGAGAGGGTTATCTCTCTTGATCATGTCTTTAATGTCCTGTGTGATTCTCCTGATGTTCTCTGAGCTCTCCTCTGTGTGTGTCAGCAGATCCTGGAAGAGTCTCTGATTGGACTCCAGTGAGACGCCCAGCAGGAACCGCAGAAACAGATCCAGATGACCATTACTACTCCTGACAGCTTTAACTACTGCTGAACTGAGCAGATCATACAGAGACTTCTCAGAGCTGGCCTGTAGATGTTGATTATTTGAATATTCTCTCTCATAAATCACCCTCAGCGGTTCTCTGTTCTCTGTTAAATGGCAGTAAAACACAAAGAAAGCAGCCAGAAACTCCTGAAAGCTGAGATGGATGAAGCTGTAGACTTTCCTCTGATGAATCACAGATTCCTCCTTGAAGATCTCAGTGCAGATCCCAGAATACACTGAGGCGTCAGTGACGTCTATGCCGCTCTCAATCAGGTCCTCCTCATAGAACATCACATTGCCCTTCATCAGCTGTCTGAAAGCCACTTCAGCAAGTTTGAGGATCACTCCTCTGTTGGACTGCAGATTCTTTGGATCTCTCTCTTCATACTTCTGCTTCCTCACTTTGAACTTTAGCTGTCTGAAAGCCACTGTAAGTGTGTTGATCACTCCCCTGTTGGACTGCAGTTTCTCTGGATCTCCCTGCAAATTCTTTGGATCCCTCTCTTCATACTTCTGCTTCCTCGTGTCGATCTGAATCAGCAGGAAGTGGATGTACATCTCAGTCAGAGTTTTAGGGATTTCTGCCCTCACATCTTCTTCCAGGAGCTTCTGAAGCACAGTGGAGGAGATCCAGCAGAAGATGGGTATGTGGCACATGATCTGGAGGCTTCTTGCTCTTCTGATGTGGGAGATGACTCTGCTGGCTTGATGCTCGTCGCTGATTCTCTTCCTGAAATATTCCTCCTTCTGAGGCTCAGTGAATCCCTGAATTTCTGTCAGACGGTTGATGTATCTGGAGGGGATCTGATGGGCTGCTGCTGGTCTGGAGGTGATCCAGATGAGAGCAGAGGGAAGCAGATCTCCTTTCAGGAGGCTCCACATCAACACAGCCACTGATGAAGATTCAGTCACAGCACAAACTTTCTCCTCATCTGAAAAGTTGAGTGTGATTCTGCTTTCATCCAGACCATCAAAGATGAACACAACTCTACACTGCTCATAAATCTTGGGCTCCAGATCTTCAAGTTCAGGATGAAAGTCCAGCAGAAGTCTGTGAAGACTGTACTGATGATCTCTGATCAAGTTCAGCTCTCGAAATGGAAGCACAAACATGAAATCTACATCCTGATGGTATTTTCCATCGGCCCAGTCCAGGATGAACTTCTGCACAGAGACGGTTTTCCCGATTCCAGCGATGCCTTTAGTGAGAACAGTCTTGATCTGGGCTTTCTCCTTCTTGATCTTCTCCTCATGTCCTGCTCCAGCTGAGGCTTTAAAGATGTCATTGCAGTAGACTGGAGTGTGTTGTGAGGGTTTTGTTCTGGCTCTTTTCTCCATCTGTAAAACCTCATGTTCTTCATTCACTCCTTCACTCTCTCCTTCTATGATGTAGAGCTGTGTGTAGATCCTGTTCAGGAGGGTTTGAGTCTCTCCATGGTTGATTCCCTCAAATAATCTCTCATGCTTGTTCTTCATGCTGGTTTTGTGCTGCTCTTTGACTCTCTGAAGTTCATCATGTTCTGGTTGGAGTGAATCCTGCTGCAGGTCTCCAGTCTGATCATCTCTATCCACACTGCAGGAACAACAACAACACAAAGAACCAACGAGCCATGTGTGTTTTCTCTGAACCAGCAGAGACACAATACACAGATTTAATCCAGAACCAAACTACAGTAATACAGAAACGGTCCCAGATCAGCAAGAACAGGCTTCATTTTAGAAGTAGGTTTACAAATAAATGAAAAATACTAAATATTGACTGTACTATAGACTGATGTAATGAGCCTGTTTCTAAACTTAGGCATTTTCAACTAAACCACACATTAAACAATTCACTTTAATTAATCTAATCAGTGTATTTAAATTAAATCTACTAATTTATTTATTTAATTAAACATATCGTCTGTGAGGGTTACATTCATGGAGCTCACCTCAGTCACTGTCATTAGGTGTCATAACTTTATTATTATTATTTTCAAATCAATTTAAGGTAATATATGCACATTTCAGAGGCTGTGCACTTTACGGCAGGGGTGCAATTCTTGGCATAACAACGCTTCATCTATTATTTCTCTCTATAATATAAGCCTATAATGCAAAATTCTAGCCCATATTTTTATATAGATTGATTAATTCAATAGAGTGATTTTTACAAAATTTGACAACTGAAATGAGGCCATGTATGAGAAAGTCTGACCACTCTGATTTGTTTGGTGACGATGTCTGTGGGTGTCAAAATTAAAGTGCACATTTTTGCTTATAATATACATGTCGATTTTTTTCAAGTTTAGTTTCATCAATTGTAAACAAATAATTTTTAAATTGTCAGTTGTATTTAAAGAAAAGTTATGCTGAACAAAGTGTGAGTGTACAATTATGTTTGGCTTTGGACACTAAGAAATAGCTATTTTTTTTCTTTATTGGGTGGGGCCAGTGAACATTTTGTCAGGGCAAGTACAAATCTGAACCACTGACCCAATCAGGCCACTGGAAAAAATCCTTAGCCTTGAACCCTGTGTGGTGTGTTTGTCTCACAGAATCTTGTCTAAAATCTTTCTTTTTATCACAAACCCTTTGCTGACTATTGTAAAAGCCTGTAAACTCACTCTACTAACTCTAACAGTTTAAGTATTAATACTTTAGTCACTTATTGCTGCTTCAGTACTTCACTAATGGTCAGATGTGAGTGTGTGGACATTTAGTTTTAAAGTCTCCTGTAAATATAATACTTGTTAATGTCTGATCTTCTAGAAACACAGGATCATATAAATGCTGCAGTGTAATCATGTGTGTGTAGAGATGATCTACCTGATAGCAGGTTGAGTGATTTTACTCCTAAATGTTATTGGTCGATTCATAGACCAGTCACTCTTCATAGACACACAGCTGGGCTCTGCTTCTGCTCTCTTCTGATGAACTGAGCTAAAACAGAGAACATTAAAGTTGAGCGCTGCACACACTGCACAAACCTGATATTAATCATTCTTCATTTACAAAAACACTTAAATTAATTTCCTTTATATTTGAACAGAAACTGTCTGAATGTGGAAAATATCAGCAAACACAAATCAAGGCTCATTTCTAGTAGAGAAAGCCCAACAGAAATGCAGCACTATTAGAGCAGATTAGAGCTGAAACTAATCATCAAATCACTGAATAAAGTCCACAGTGTAGGTGTGGGAGGAGCTTAATCATGCAGGCGTGTCAATCATCATCACATGACTATAAAAGCAGCAGTATAAACTGCACTGTGTCAGCTGACTGTTATTCCCGCCTCCAGCAGCTCCCCTTATCCTCCTCCTCATCACTCAGTCTTCAGAAGGTCACTCATTGGGGGTTTGTCTGCAGAGCTCCAGTCCAGACTTTGAGGACAGCAAGACAAGTTCATTTACCATCATCTATCATGACTGAATGAGCAGGAGAACTCGAGAAATATCAATTCTAGAAACCAAATGTGTTGATCAGCAGCATCTATGAGGCCAACACAACATGATGATGACTGCGCTTCAGTGAAAACAGACTCAGATCAGAGGAATGGCTGATCAGTACAGCACAGAAACAGCAGGGGAAAGTGTGCAGGAAAAGCCCTTTATGGCAGGAGATCGGGAACACTTTAGTTTAGCTCACAATTCATACTATTAACTACTGGCTTATTATCTGTGTAATGTGAACATATGAACTGCTCATTAGTAGTCATACAGTATGATCTTATTGTGTATCCCCAACCCTACCCAAAACCTAAATCCACCTTCTACCTCACTAACTATTAATAAAGCGCTGATTGGTTTGTTAACACCATCAATTGTGGCCTGAAGTGTAAAGCGGAGATCTTCAAGCACTATCCTGCAGAGCTCAGATACAACATCTAACATCTGAAACCCAACAGATCCACAACACTAATTACCTGATTCATTTATTATGAAAATACTCATCAGTTGCAGATATTAAAGAGTTGATCTACCTGACAGCAGGTCCTGTGTTTTCACTCTTAAATTTTATTGGTTGCTCCATAGACCAGTCACTCTTCATAGACACACAGCTGGGCTCTGCTTCTGCTCTCTTCTGATGAACTAAACTAAAACAGAGAAGATTAAAGTTAAGCGCTGCACACACTGGGGTCAACACAGCAGATTTACTCAACATTTCATCATTAAAGGGCCATGAAACCCCTCGTTTCAGCAGGGTGTTTTCACACCTCTACTTTGGAAAAAGTCAGAAAAGTGGGCGTGTCCAGCTCTGTTTAGGGGGGAGTGTCGGAGGAACTAAAGTGGGAGGGTGTGAAAGTGACTATTTGGGCACGCGCGAGTTTCAGTCAAAATACACACAGTAGAAAGTGATGGTGTTTAACCTACATGGACATCTGTAGTCGAATTATTTGCCAAATTATTAAATGGTGGACTTTAACTGCAGTTTGGCTCTTTCATTCAGGGAATTCATTCATGCCCCTCACGACAAACGAGATATTTGAATCGAGGATCTGCTCTAAGCGTGTATTTTTCATGCAATGTTTGATACCGCACGGCGAATGAGAGAAAAAAACCCTCCGCATTTCCCGGAAACTTAGATGCTCACGGCAGGTAGTGTCAGAAAGCCAAATGTTATTCGGGTCACAAAATGCGGTGCTAACATTTCTGCACTCAGTGCAATAGTTAACTTAATTCGATACGAACAAACTGAATAAACAAAGAGCACTGGTCGCTCACCAAATCTGTAGAGACAGGACAATCACCAGTAACTAGAGCCGCGTCTTTATGAAGAAAAGACTACAAGCGAATCCGGATCTCAGCGTTTGCAGATGAGAACAGCTCTCAGGTAAACAATGTTCCTCCTTAGACACGTAAGTTATTGTTGTCGAGCGTCGCGTACACTGTTAATCCACACGTGATCCAGATGAGCTCTCACAGAGAGAAAATGAAAACGAAACTTAATGGCAGCAAACTATAAAAGCAACACTTCACGCTTGTTTTGCCAACACAACGTGGCGTCTCTGTGGTGTAAACACGGTGACACAAATGAATATTAATGAAGTTGCACAATAGAGCGCGCTGATTGGTTTGACCCAAGCCTTACTCATGCATTAATGCATCACACTGTAAGACGTAATAAGACTCACTCTGGCACAGACGCCCAGTCTGCACGCTGGAATACAACGCTATTATGTCCTGACCGTGACGAAGCTTTAAAAATTAGTTTCAAACCGGAAGTACGAATTTGCTTGAAATAACGCAAAAACAACCAATTTACACTTTTTAGTGAAATATAGGTGTCCTAATAGTGTTTTTAGCAGTGTGGGACACATATACGACTGTCAACAGCTCAAAAAATGTGTTTTGGTGTTTCGTGACGCTTTAAAACACTGTTTAAACAGCACTTAATGAAACTTTTCATAACTATTGTAGAAAAACTTGTGTGTGTTAAATATTCTGATCGATTAAAAGCACAACTAACAGAGAGTAAATATAATATCTTGTAAAAAATAATCATATAGAATGTCAAGTGTAGGTTTAATACCTGCATCCTGTAAACAAATCCTGATCTCTAGAAGTGTATTTGTTCTCCATCATGGATCTGAAGAGTTTGATCTCCAGCAGAAACCCTAGAAGAAGGTGAAGAACAATAACAAATCTCCAGTATAGAGGTAAAGTTGGTTTCATAATCGCACATTCAGACTTTCCCCTTAATAATATAATTTCATAAAAGTATTATTTGCAAACTCTAAATAGCGAAATCATATTAGCACTCAATGACTATCAAAGTACAACATTGTTCACAGTGAAATAAACAGTGTTAATGCTGTTTTCAAGTCATACTTGCATGCTAATTCCGATCGAATATTTAAAGTAACATGGTAAACAATATAGAGACTTAAGTCATTGATCAGCCTTCATAATTCAGCCTTCATAATTCAAAGATCAGCAGCTGAGACACTCAAATCACTGAAATCCAGAAGTCAATCGCATAGAGGTAAAGTTGGTTTTATATTCACACATTCAGACTTTCACCTTAATAATATAATTTCATAAAAAGTATTATTTCTAAACTCTAAATAGTGAATTCATATTAGCAGCCAATGACTATCAAAGTACAACATTGTTCACAGTCAAATTGACAGTGTTAATGTTGTTTTCAAGTCACACTTGCATGCTAATTCAGATCGAATATTCAAAGTAACATGGTAAACAATATAGAGACTTCTAAATGAACGAATGTGTGAATATAACCAACTTTACCTCTATGTTCATCGCTAGTAAACAAATGAAGAATCACAGCCATCCTCTATTTGACTAGGATTAAAATATAATCATTCATTCAGTTTATTAAACCTTACACGTTTTGTCAAGACATTAAAGATTTAAAGCTGTTCTGCGTTGTAAATGATGGATTATGTTTAAAATGGAGACACAACAACTCAGCACTATCACTTTCGTTTCTAAAGGAAGCTGTACATCATGAGTTTAGTGAAAAACATCCATCACAAACACTCTAAACAAAGCAGAGAAGAGTGAAAACAGCAGCAGGATTATTTTATCTATCTCATAAAATACATCTTAATATTCGCAGATTAAGTTCAGTCACTCCCATACAACCATCCATTACATCATTCAAAATTATACAAAATGTAATACCTTGCAAAATAGCATATATAGTACTTTTAAGGCACTTAAATTCCTCTAAATTGATTAACTTTCAATACTTTTTAAGACCCCGCGGACACCCTGCTACATGTTATGTGTGTATGAGTGACAGATTAGAAATGTCATCATATTTCATTGTCAGATTGATTCTTTTTCTGCTGGTGACTGGTCTTAAGCTGGATTTACACTATCAGCATGAATTAAGTATTTGCGCGAGTAGATTACACACAAAATCAATGCAAAAGCTTGAATCTTAAAAATAACACGACAGTGTGTTATTTTACTATGGTATCTGCTGGTTTGCGCACTAATCCAGAAGTCCATACCCTTCCAACGGCAATGGTATGGCCCGACTACGAGAGCAGAAAAGTAAAATGGAAAATCACAATAATGTGTCATTATTTAAAGTTTGTTCTGAGATCAGATTCAAATGCAACAACACAAACTTGTAGAATTGAAAATTACACCGAGTGACAATTATCCGTTGTTGAAGTACTCAGAAAAAATGGAAAATGAAAGTTTGAGATGCATTTTTCATTTGTTTAATTTTGACCGTGTGAATTAAACAAAGCACTGCAAAGCGTTACACGGATCTATACAGAACTCTGACACCTCATATTTCACATTTGATGTATGATATGTAGTTTATTAAGATAAGATCAGGTTAAGCCAATTACTCATTTATATATTTAGTTTGTCAGTTGGTAGTAAAAATGTCTACTGACATTAAAGAGTTAAATACATTTTAAGGAACATCAGCAGTTTTTCTTCCTGTTTAACTGTTAGGGCTGGTTGAACTTTTCTTTCAATTTCATAAATGTTGATTTCAAGTTATATTTTGTGCTGATTTATGGAGTGAACATGATATTAATGATTAAAAACAGATTCATAACATTAAGAAATAAAGTGTTCAGACACAGTGTTGAAATTACCATGTTTTTACACCATGATTAAACAGTGTTTGAGGCTTTGAGACAGTGTTTGAGCATCCGCATCAGACAAACATTTAAATCAAATCACACTTACATGTTTAAAATCCCTTCATCATTTCCACAAATAAGCGTAATGGTAGAAGTATCAAACTTACATGCAAAAGTGCAGACACTCTTGTCCAGAAGAAACACAATCTGAGCTCTTTGACTCTTTCAGTTCTTCTTCCCTTTCTTCTTCTTCCTGATTTATTGCCTGTCAGGAACTCAACTTGGAAGGTGCATTACTGCCACAACCACACAGCAAATTTTAGATAGTAGATTTAACTACCTTAGAGTTAAAATTAACACTCCCTCAGAGTTTATATGGGAACCACTATAAGTGTTAAAAATAACACTTTTGAAAGTGTTAACATTGTCAACACCAAGAGAGTGTTAATTAGCAAACTCTTATTGTGTAAAATATCTGTAAAATTTCCGAAAAAATACCAGCAGCTGTGGTTGCCAGAATCTTTCTGTGAAAAACATGGAAGTTTTATATAACTGTATAAATTTACAAAAAATAACCATATTTCATGAACTAATACATTGTTTATTTTACAAAATCATAGCTTAGTGCACAAAAATGTAAAGTCTTTAGATGCAATAATGTTTTCATGTGTGATTGCAATTAGCAAACAGATTTTGACTGCATTAATAACTTCACAGTTACCTTTAAACAAAAGAAGATGCAGCATAACATCAAATACTCTCAGTTCATCTTGGACTTGAACAGAGACGCTATTATCCTCCACAATGGGAACACAAAAACTGTTTAGCTGTTTTTCTTTCTTTTTTTTTCATTTTTAGATTTTACGTAAAAATACCAGCAGCTGTGGTTGCCAGTAATCTGCTGTTTTTAACATTCATAAATTCAGTTTACAGAATATTTCTGTTAAAAGCACATTCAACAGTCTGTATTTTTTATCGATCTCACACTGCAAATTTTAGATTTGGTAGATTTAACTACCCTAGAGTTAAAATTAGCACTCCCTCATTGTTTATATGGGAACCACTATAAGTGTTAAAATAACATTTTTGAAAGTGTTAAAATTTTTAACACCCAGAGTGTTAATTAGCAAACTCTTATTGTGTAAAATATCTGTTAAATGTATGTCAAAATACTGGCAGCAGTGGTTGCCAGTAATCTGCTGTTTTTAACATTCATAAATTCAGTTTACAGAATATTTCTGTTAAAAGCACATTCAACAGTCTGTATTTTTTATCGATCTCACACTGCAAATTTTAGATTTGGTAGATTTAACTACCCTAGAGTTAAAATTAGCACTCCCTCATTGTTTATATGGGAACCACTATAAGTGTTAAAATAACATTTTTGAAAGTGTTAAAATTTTTAACACCCAGAGTGTTAATTAGCAAACTCTTATTGTGTAAAATATCTGTTAAATGTATGTCAAAATACTGGCAGCAGTGGTTGCCAGTAATCTGCTGTTTTCAACATTTTACATTCGTAAATTCAGTTTCCAGAATATTTCTGTTAAAAATACATCCCATAGTCTGTATTTTTTATTCAAACACACTTAAGCCTTAAATTCCAGACCAAAACCCTAACTAGTGTCCTCACTACAGAGGCCTGAACACTCAGACAGTGATGAAGTTAATGAGACAATTAAGTGTCTAATTAAAGGAGGATTGAGAATTGTTGATGAACAACTGTTAACAAGCAGAATCACTGAAGGACAGAAAAACACAAGCCAAAACCAAAGATGAAATCAACTGAGAAAAAAAACTCTAAATAAAATAATAATCAATAAAAATAAAACAAATTACACAATAAAAAATGTTATTTTTCAACATCTTTAAAAAAAACTCATCACATTAAACAACTTATCATGGAGCTTCACCTATTACTGACCTTTGACTTGATTTCTGTCATGTGAACAAAAGCTCTTAATAAAATTTCTGTTCATTTAAAGTCACCATGATGGAGGACAGAGTCTGCTTTAGTCAGGCTCTTTAACTTCTTACTATAAATGTCTTTTATTTTGGCTGCTAAAGTTAGTGTTAATCACACTATTTATACATATAGCATGGAAAGCCAAAAGAAAATTAAGTGTTAGTCTGAAGAGATTATTTATGATATCATAGCCTTCCTTTCCTGCTTGTTTTCTAATTCAGTATCATATTAATTATGTGTGAGGAATGAATAAAATACATAATGAAACCACAGAAACTCCAATAATTAATGACTTTATAACAGGTTTAAAAATACGATTTACAATAAGAATGTTTGATCTACAGCAGAAGTTAAAAACACCCAGACATCAACAATTAGTCTTTGAATCTCAATGATGGTGACAAACAAAAAAATAAAAATCAAGTAAAAAAAAAAACATTACTGAAATATCACCTCCCAAAAACAACACAAACAAAGGAAAAGAAAGAGATTGTAAGAACATAAAGCTGCATAATTTATTCATGCTGCAATGCATGCTGGGAGCTTTGTACTATGCTGGCACCCAGCATGCATTGCAGCATGAACTATGCAGTTTTTTTTTTTTTAGCAACCACGGTTGAGGTTCATATCCTGATTCTTGATGTCTGTGTGTCTTAAAGAGCAAGCTGGACCTCGAAAGTTTAGTGCATGACTCTCTAATTATTAACTGCATGCTAATTGTCTGTTGAATCTTCTATGAAGAGCAGCAGACTGCCAGTAGTGTTGTCCCATGCAGTTTCAATACAATTATATTAGCATGTTTTTATGAATCAACTTATTAAACACCTGAAATTATATCTAGAACAATTAAGCATTAACAGTATAATTTCTCTTGACCTTTCTTGCTATAACTGATGAGGTTTAGAAACACAGCTATAACAGTCAGAGAAACATAAGGATATAAGAGTAAAGCTTCAAGAACTCAAATAAGCAGCCTCTGATCTCCATGATGGTGAGGTCAAATGAAATATTTTTAATAAAAAAAATATTCTTACAGAAATGAAGTCAAACTGTAATCAGTGAAGCTGCTTATGCTATTATTTAATGGAGTTGTTTAATCCTCTGTTTTAATTCAGTTGGTTTGATGTGAGGCTGTGTCTGTAGTTTTATTTCTTCCTTCAATTTCTTATTCCTTCAGTGATTGTGCTTGTTAGCAGCAGGTGTCTGAATTCACTTATTTGTGGTCATTCACTCTGTCTAGTGGACTAAACTAATTGACTAATTTAAGGGCCAGGTGAATGAGGGTGTGGCGAGATTTCAGACACTCTGATTAGTTTCTCAAATACAAGGGTTTTCTACAAAGGTAGATACATGTTACTCTGTATGACAAGGAGGCAAATCAGCTTCTAACGCCGAGAGGGTTATTTATCTTTATCTAACTCTAGAATTTTAACACTGTACTCTGAATTACCACAACACTTGAAATTTAACACCAATGAATTTGCTGTGTAGCCTCCAGCAGCACTGATTGTCCTCCTCCAGCCAAAAGAGCACCAATGGCTGAACTGTTTGAAGACATCTTTTCAATTGAACCGGCATCATCATCCTCCAAGTCTTTGTCTGAAGTGGTGAATGAGGAGGTGCAGCATTACAGAGCAGCACAGCAAATTTTACATAGTAGATTTAACTACCTTAGAGTTAAAATTAACACTCCCTCAGAGTTTATATGGGAACCACTATAAGTGTTAAAAATAACACTTTTGACAGTGTTAACATTGTCAACACCAAGAGAGTGTTAATTAGCAAACTCTTATTGTGTAAAATATCTGTTAAATTTCCGAAAAATACCAGCAGCTGTGGTTGCCAGTAATCTGCTGTTTTCAACATTTTACATTCGTAAATTCAGTTTCCAGAATATTTCTGTTAAAAACAAATCCCATAGTCTGTATTTTTCATTCAAACACACGTAAGCCTTAAATTCCAGAGCAAAATACTAACTAGTGTCCTCACTACAGAGGGCTGAACACTCAGACAGTGATGAAGTTAATGAGACAATTAAGTGTCTAATTAAAGGAGGATTGAGAATTATTGATGAACAACAGTTAACAAGCAGAATCACTGAAGGACAGAAAAACACAAGCCAAAACCAAAGATGAAATCAACTGAGAAAAAAAAAACTCTAAATAAAATAATAATCAATAAAAATAAAACAAATTACACAATAAAAAATGTTATTTTTCAACATCTTTAAAAAAAACTCATCACATTAAACAACTTATCATGGAGCTTCACCTATTACTGACTTTTGACTTGATTTCTGTCATGTGAACAAAAGCTCTTCATGAAATTTCTGTTGTTCATTTGAAGTCACCATGATGGAGGACAGAGTCTGCTTTAGTCAAGCTCTTCAACTTCTTACTATGAATGTCTTTTACTTTGGCTGCTATAGTTAGTGTTAATCACACTATTAATATATATAGCATGGAGAGCCAAAAGTAAATTAAAGTGTCAGTCTGAAGAAATCGTTTATGAAATCATAACCATTCTTACCTGCTTGATTTTTAATTCAGTATCATATTAGTTATGTGTGAGAAATAAATAATATACATAAATGAAACCACTTCAGCTCAAACAATTAAAGACCTTATAACAAGTTTAAAAAAAAAAACATTTACAATGAGAATGTTTGATGTATGGCAGACCTTAAAAACACACAGACATCAACAATTAGTCTTTGAATCTCAATGATGGTGACAAACAAAAAAATAAAAATCAAGTAAAAAAAAACACTACTGAAATATCACCTCCCAAAAACAACACAAAATAAAGGAAAAGAAAGAGATTGTAAGAACATAAAGCTGCATAATTTATTCATGCTGCAATGCATGCTGGGAGCTTTGTACTATGCTGGCACCCAGCATGCATTGCGGCATGAACTATGCAGCTTTTTTTTTTTTTTAGCAACCACAGTTGAGGTTCATATCCTGATTCTTGATGTCTGTGTGTCATAATGAGCAAGCTGGAGCTTGAATGTTTAGTGCATGACACTCTAATTATTAATTGCATCCTAATTGTTTGTTGAATCTTCTATGAAGAGCAGCAGACTGCCTGTAGTATAGTCCCATGCAGTTTTAATACAACTATATTTACCAATTTATAAGAATCAATTTGTTAAACACCTGAAATTATATCTATAACAATTAACCATAAACAGTATAGTTTCTCTTGACCTTTCTTGCTATAGCTAATGAGTTTTAGAAACACAGCTATAACAGTCAAAGAAACATAAGGATATAAGAGTAAAGCTTCAAGAACTCAAATAAGCAGCCTCTGATCTCTATGATGGTGAGGTCAAATGAAATAATTTTAATAAAAAAATATTCTTACAGAAATGAAGTCAAACTGTAATCAGTGAAGCT